CCCCATGGGGGGGGGGGTCTGGTAAGATTTCTTGTTTTCAGTCTGTCTTCCCTGGCAAGCACACACACCCTATAGCAAAAATCGTTAAATAAATAAATAAATAAATAAATAAATAAATAAAAGACAGAGAACACTATACATGAACACATTTGAATTGTGCTACATTCTAACTGATGGCAATGCTACCCACCCCACTTGCTGTCTGATATCTGAAATGTCATGTGCTTCATTCAACAAGTACTAAGCTAGGGGTGAACATACTACAGTGTTAGCTAAGCAGTATAAACATATATAACTGTGGTAGCCAGTAACAGACAGGTCTGTTCGTCCAGGGCTTTCCAGCAGGTAGGGAAGGAAAAACACAAGTATTTGAGAGACTTGAGGTTCAGGGTCATTTCCCAGTGGCTTAGCTCTGCATGGTGCTTCAGCATGTCATTCAACATCTCAGTCTCAGTTAAACATATAAACCTCAGAAACTCTTAAAAGAGCATCATCAATCAGTCTCCTTACACTTTCCTAGAACATTTTATCATCAGTAGAAGTCTCCTCTTCCCCAGGCTCAATCAACCAAATGGAATGCTCAGCCATAAGTAGCAGTTAACAAAAAGCAGCAATCTATTCTTCCTAAACAATTATGAACTCTAACCCCTGTTACTAAAGAAACTCTGCAAGAACTCCTCTTTCTGCATTGATAAGAATTCACCACCAGACTCTGTTCTCAGGTGACAAATCGCCAATTACTAAATCAAATGCCATATATTCTTACGAACTGATTTATATCAGGGAATGCAGCATTCAATGATAAAATGATTTCAGACAGACCATTCCCCAATTCATGCAGTTAACGGCTAACATTCACTGAGCACTTACTAGGTGCCAGGCCATACTATATGGGTCATATACACTGTCTCATGTAATCTTCTGAGGACTCTGTAAGGTATTTCACATTTGGTTACATACCAGGACCTCAACAAAATGCTGGAGACATGGGGTTCAGAATAATGTGCTTTTCATTTCTCACACTCTTAAGCTTCAAAGATGTAAAAATAAATGGAGAATTTAACAAAATGAGAGCCCCTTAAAACTTAAAGTGGCAAGAAACATAAACCAGGGACCTGGTTTATGAGAGCAAAGGCTGAAATAGTTGCTACAAATGACTCTTCATTCTACCTTTAAAAATTGTGACTTTTTGGGGACCAGCAGGTGACATGGTGGTTAAGGCACTGGACATGCCCGACCACGGTTCAAGTCCTGGACCTGGTGGCTTACTTTCTCACTTTCTCTCTCTCTGGCTGACCAAACTAGAAAGTAGTAATAATAAAGTTAAATAAAATATTTTTTTAATTGTGACTTTCAATTCTGTACCAATAATATATGTGCAGTTTATTTTAATATAGGACAACTGCTCCCCTCTCAAAGTTTCTAGTAAACTAACACTCCAGAAGGACACATCCCCAGGATAATGGGAAGTAGGTGTCTCTACATTCCACCCAGTTCTCAGTTCTGTGACTCAAGATGGACCGAACAGTGTAATGACACTAGACCAGAAGACAAAGTGCCTTGACCCTAGTAGCCAAAACTACTTTATTGGTTATTAAAGCTATGGCCAAGTCATTTACCTTTCTTAGCTCTAATTCTCAATCCACTTTTTTAAATGCAGTCATTTCAGAGTATTTCATTGTTGTGAAGCTGAAATGAGAGTGCAGCCTATGAAACATTTGTTTAATGTAGCCCTACTCTCGTTTTTCAACAAGTCCCCCCAAATTAAAGCAACTCAACTCAATGTAAAAACAAGTTTGACTGCTGGTTGTTAAGCCAAATACAGTGATCTTTCTACTGTATCAAAGTGTTCACTGTAGGGAACCAGCAGTTAGCGTAATGGCTATGTCGCTGGACTCCCACGTAGTCGACCGCGGTTCGCGTCCTGGACCCGGTGGCTTAAAACTCACGCCGGGTGCGTGTGCGTGCGTGCCCAGGATCCCGAGAGGAGAATGGAGGAGAAGGGATTGCGGTGTGACCATCCCCCCTGGGGGGTGATTTCTCACTTTCTGTCTCTATGTCTCTCTCTGTCTGTCTGGCGAGCGCACAAGCCCTATAGCGAAAACCTCTCCAAAAAAAAAGTGTTCACTGTACACAATCCAAAACTATGAGTTTTATATTGAGACTAGGAAAAGGTTACAATCCTGAGCAAATGTGATTGAATCAGTAGAAAAGCCAAGTGAGAAATGCCAATCTAATATTAACTATTTGTTATAGATAACCAAGAACTGGGCTCTAAGGACCTAGGTTCTTGTCCTGGTCTCATTTATGGTTTATGCAAGTGGCTTAAGTTTTCCAGAGCCTCAAGTTTCTCCTACCCAGACAAGGCAAAAAGTTCTTTCCTTATTTACCTTGTGGAACTAATCATACAAATATAAAGTACTAAGAACAATACTACTACTTAACATTTACTACACTTAGGTCCCATAAATTAACTCTAATGCTTTCTGCATTATTAAATATATTTATCCTCACAACCACTCTAAGAAGTAGGTATTATCATCCCCATTTTATACATGAGAAACTGGAAACACTACTACATAGGAGAGCCTGGATTCGAACACAGGCAGTTGAGTATGGGTTCATGCAGCTACCTAAACATCACTCCGTATTTCTCTCAGCACTACTACTGTTAGCACTTTACATACTTTTAAATACAAACACAGAAAACTGCGAAAAGGGAAAACATGCAGACAACATTTAATTTTAATGACAACTATGTTTTTACAATTTCAAGTTTTGTTTCTGACAGATGAGCTCTGACAGGCTTCTTTTAGTATTCAACAGAAGGAACTATAAAAATGTAGCTTAAAAATCTGAAAAACCTTCTAAGCATACCCTCCCTATGTACAGCAAGTGAGATGTATTCTAACTGCCAAACCAAAACTTTAGCAGAAGGCTCCCAGAGTAGTAAGACAGGTTAAGATCATTCCTGAAAACCAGCTTCTGAAGTTATACACATAGTAACAGCTACATGCTGCACACCTTAGGATACCTGATGTTTCCAAATCAGCATAGACTGATTTGCTCTGGCTACTCTACTACAGCTCTAACCACGTGCCTGTGAATCAGGTAGATGTAGTCCTAGTCCGGTGATTAAATAGTGAATGGCACTTACCTGAGACAGGTCCCTAATAGTGAAAAAGCCTTCCCTAACTTGGCAATTTCCCATCTAAAGGAAACTTCACCTGGACTCATCATCTTTATTAAGTCAAACTATGAGTACACTTTACCTCCGTATCTTACTGCAGACTTCAGACCTGGGGGGAGAACAGACAGGAAATGCGGGAGGGGGGGGAATACTGAACAGATGTTAAAAAAGGCAAGAAGGTTCTAAAGGCTGAGACTAAGGAGCCTAGAAAAGCCAAGAGTTTCACGAGTGAGAGTTCCACAAGCTGAGGGTGAAAGAGAACACGTGGTGAACCGGCACTTAGAGTTGGAGGGGGGCCACCGGAAGGAAGAAAACAGACTTGTTCATTCCAACTGTCCAGGGCAAAGCCGAAGACCTGGATCAGGGAA